CCTTCTGAGAGCACAACGGCTCTCCATCCCCCAGCAGAAGAAGTCGAGCAGGGGAAGGGCAGTGGATGTCATCTACCTGGACGTCTGCAAAGCCTTTGACGTGGTCTCTCAGCACATCCTTCTCTCTAAATTGGAGAGGTGTGGATTTGAAGGATGGGCTGCTTGATGGATTAAGAACTGGTTGGCTGGATGCGGCCAAAGGGCTGTGATCAATGGTTCTGTGTCAGGTGGAGGCTGGTCACAAGCGGTGTCCCTCAGGGGTCGGTCTTGGGACCGGTGCTCTTCAGCATCTTCATCAATGACAGATGATGGCATCGAGTGCAGCCTCAGCAAGTTTGCAGATGGCACCGAGCTGAGCGGTGCAGTCGATGCATTGCAGGGAAGGGAAGCATCCAGAGGGACCTGGGCAGGATGGAGAAGTGGGCCTGTGTGAACCCAATGAGGTTCAACGAGGCCAAGTGCAGGGTGCTGCACTGGGTCGGGGCAATCCCAGGTATTGATACAGACTGGGGGAAGATCTCCTTGAGAGCAGCCCTGCGGAGAAGGACTTGGGGTCCTGGTGGACGAGAAGCTGGCCATGAGGCAGCAGTGTGCGCCTGCAGCCCGGAAGGCCAGCTGTGTTGTGGGCTGCACGAAAAAGGGGCGGCCAGCAGGAGAGGGAGGTGATCGTCCCCCTCTGCTCGGCTCTTGTGAGGCCCCATCTGCAGCGCTGCGTCCAGGCCTGGGGCCCCAGCACAGGAAGGACGTGGAGCTCTGGGAGCGGGGCCAGAGGAGGCACTGAGATGAGCAGAGGGCTGGAGCAGCTCTGCTGTGAGGAAAGGCTGAGGGAACTGGGCTTGTTGAGCTTGGAGAAGAGAAGGCTGCAGGGAGACCTCATTGTGGCCTTCCAGTGCCTGAAGGGAGCGTATAAACAGGAGGGGGAATGGCTGTTTGTGAGGGTGGATAGTGATAGGACAAGGGGGAACGGTTTTAAACTGAGACAGGGGAGGTTTAGGTTGGATATGAGGAGGCAGTTTTTCACCCAGAGGGTGGTGAGGCACTGGCACAGGTTGCCTAAGGAGGCTGTGGATGCCCCATCCCTGCAGGCATTCAAGGCCAGGCTGGATGTGGCTCTGGGCAGCCTGGGCTGCTGGTTGGCGACCCTGCATATAGCAGGGGGTTGGGACTGGATGAGCACTGTGATTTCTTTCAACCCAGGCCATTCTATGATGATACCTCATAGATCATTATGTTTTTATGGTATTCACTGAACTCCAGGTATTTTCCCAGAATTTCTTCAAAAAGCCAACCCCATAAATAATAGCACTCACATCCCACCAAGCACATGAACTGCAGTCAGTATATAAGATTTCTAAGACCACATCCTGTCCAAATGCACAAATAAACCGAGGCACAACTACGAGGAAAAAAATAACGAATTATATAACTAAGAAAAACAACTAAGAAAAAAATAACTAACTTTAGACCTGGCTATGTTTTGAGAAAGTGTAAATTAATGTTCCTTTCATTAAAGAACAAGTTTTAAATTCTAGAAGTATTTAGCTCTTTCTGGTTTTAAACTGCACAGCAACTGAAAACAAGATTTATATGCCTCTCTATAAAATACCAGATTTTGTTTTAGCTCCTTAACCTCTTTTTTGTGGCAGAAAGAATGAAACTTGCACAGGTTAAACTTGAAGAGCTTTATGCAGAGCTTTTCATTGTCAGTCTTATAAAAATCTGGACGAATAAAAAAAATTCTGAAAGCTTTGTGTTTTCTCTGGTTCTGTTCTCTGCCATAAGTTTTAGGGAATGTACCAGCATTACGTGTGTCCAGTCCTGCAGACATACATACATGTTATGTTACGCAGTCTTTCATTGGGAGAAACAGGGACTCTACTTTCCACAATACCCATTTCCCCATGAGAATACCCTCCAGCTTCAAAAATCTGCATTTAAGCTGAGAAACCAGGGCTCAGTCCTGCACCAACTGAAGCAGAATTACAAGCTCAACAAAGAAGTGTAAAATTACAGAAGGTCTGTTTTTACTACCAGCCAGCGACTGTAATACTGTGGAAAGATCTGTAACTCAATGCTAAATCATGCTTAGTTGGCTGAAACAGCATTTCCAAGAGGCAAACAAGCTTGCAGGACTGAACTACTGTGGCTGTTAAAAAAACTTACATTTTGCAAATGTGGGCATATTTTCACAACGTGCTATCAATAAAATGTAACTATCCAAATATATCCACAAAACCAGGTCATTATGTAGCTTCCTCTAGTGGCCAATCATGTTTCTGCTGTCATTTACTGTAGTTAATTATTTAAATACAAATGCTGAATTTCTGAGTTCAAATACATACTCTAATACGAAAGCCAAGAAAATTAAGGCAGAACATTTGTTACTAGTATAAAAAGGACAAGCAGCAAAGTCAGCAGAAAACAGAGTCAGTATTAAGCACTTGTTTGCCCTTTCTGAATATGCATTCTAATACATTTAGTTACATGGTCAAGCATGACTTTCTCATCTTAAGACACGGGGAACAAAACAGATGTTCAATTTTCATTTTCTTCAGATATTTACTATGAACCATCCAAATTTCATTTTGACACTGGAATCAATATGTGTGCATGTGTCTTTTAATGAGGCTTATCACTGTAGGATGTAAACCTAACAAATACACTAGGTTTGTTTCTGCAATGCTTTTTTTGAGGGAAAGAGTAACGAGGCACATCACAAAATCCGTGTGCTGATAAAATCAGAAGGCAATATGACACACACCTCTAAGGCATCACAATAAAATCAAGGCATACAAAAATACGGGACGGACAATGAATAGTATGAAATTTTATACTGAATATCAGAGAGCTTCCCTTATGGGTTGAAATTATTTATGGAAGGAAAGGGAAAACTCAAGTGCAGAAAATGACAACAACAACAAATCCAGCTTTTAAAAGTACTGTTATGTAACACAACAGCCATCTCTGATTTCTGACTCAAAACGAAAATAAATTAATTTAGATTTGGTAATCCCCATGTTAATCCAACTGAAAATACTCACAAGGATTAAGTTACTGAAATCGCATATTTCGTGGAAAATCACGTATCACTCATGCAGTGTGAGAAGGATTTAAAAATCTGAGGAAACAACTTGGTTTATAAGGTTATTCTGAGAAACAACAGCACTAGCGCTTATGTCTAGATGAATATCTTCCACTGAATGAGATTCTTTATATCTTCTTAGACTAAAAGCTACAATTTCCTGCATCTTTTTTTTTTTTTTTTGCCTTTGTGCTTCCCCACAATCCAGAGCAAGAGAAGTCTCTTCCCCAACCTCACCTCTCTCCCAGTTTTGTTTTGTTTTTCCATATATCATGAAATTCCATTCAGTTTTGACAAGGATATTAACTACCTCAAAGTGATATTTCCATTTAATTATTTTTATGCTGTCAGCAACTTTAGACAGTGCAACAGTAACTGTTGAAACATACAACAAAGCATCAAAGCAACTTTTTAACTGAAGGTCAGCAACAAATTATTTTCAGAGCACTGCTGCACAATCCCTTGGGAAGCCTACAGGTAGCCCAACAAGGCACCTGGCACCAGTTCCCTTAAATGCTCACCTCTCTTTTGCAGAAGCTCACATGGAACTTCCACATGCTTTAAAGAAGGGCAGGCCATGCCTGGAGCAATTAATGATTACAATTATTTCTCTCTTTTCTAGATATCAGTTCACGTGTTGCCATCTATTAGAGGATGTCCTACCATTCGAGCTGTAATTTGTCTCTCTGTGCCTAGTACTTAGAAACATGCTCACAGCAACTCCTTTAAAAGAGAGGCTCCTCAACTGCTCCAGTGCAGTGCTTCACTGCAAGACTATCTCAGCACTTTAAATACCTGTCACTACAAATCCCTCTGTTGTCAATTTCTGCCTAAATGTATTCATTTTTGCAGCTCGAGTGTGCCTGTTATTTGTCCTTAGGAGAGCACACAGGAGAGGATTTACAGCATAGTAAATCTCAAGTTTGCATATTCCCCTGCATATCATTACATCCTTAGGGAAAGATAATGTAACTGACAAAAAAAGTCATGGTCTCACTAAAGAAAGAATATCTGTCCAATTCTGGGGCGTGCTGCCAATTGCGTTTATGTTCCTGGCCTTCTCACAGCACATTTCTAAAGATGCAGACTCTGCTGGAAGAATAAGGAAAGAGAAAGATTCAGATTTGGTCAAAAATGTTCCCAGAAAAAGGTCTGTGCCTGTTTCTCATCACTCTGCGATGGCATTTCGGCATTACAGCAATTGAATATGCGATAGTGTTTGGGTAACAATCTAAAGCCTAATAAATAAAACATTACATCTGAAGCAGAGAAAATTCAAAGAAATTTCATGCATGCTTTTCATTTTTCATGTTAAGGATCAGAATATTAAGCACACTTCAGTGCTCAATTCTGCATTAAGTAATAAAAGTTCCTCATTATTCCCTGTATTTCATTTGAAGTAAAAACTTCAACCAAAAGCCAGCATTTCAGTCAGTATAAACATCAATACATAAGTTATTACGCCACTGACTAAATAAAAATTAAACATATCTAATGAAATGTTATGTGTTAAATGGATAAAACAAAGGAAGTAGAGTGATACCTTATTGAGCCAGTATGGGACTAAAAGCAAATGAAAGCCAGTGAATGCTCTTCCTGCATGATAGGATCCCAGTTACAGAATTAGCGTGGTTATAGAAAAAATGGTCCTAATATTACTTCTAATGTACCAGAATGTTTCAGTGTTAGTTTTGTTTGTTAACTGCCCAGCTGTTGGCAGACTAAATATCAATTAAAGAAGCTCTCACCTTATGTAATATGACAGAACATGAAAACAAATGGTTAGAGTACCTGTATTGCAATGCTTACAGCTTTAAAAAAAATTGCAGCTACACACAGGCAAATCTCTGCACACCAGATTTTAAGCTAAAAAGTGCAGACTTCTCCTAAGTTCACTTTAAACCAGAATACAACTTACGCATTTCTTCAACAACGTCTGGATCACATTCCCTGTATTTTTCTATTTCTGCCCTTAGCTGTTCTTTTTCCTGCCGGAGGGCGGCAAGTTCCTTCACCAGAGCTTCACGTTCTGCCTGAGGAGTCAAAGTATGTTGGGATACACATTAAGAATAAAAACAATACAATAACATGGCATAGAACATGTTTAAAAAAAAAAAAAAAAAAAAAAAAAAACTTAAAAGCTGTTTTCACTACTGCTTTCCATCAATTAACTAGTTCAGCATTTTATGCACATACAAAACTCTCAGCAACACTCAGTGATATTGAATACAAATTGGAAGGAAGAAAATGAAGATCAAAATGAAGATCAAAAGAACAATTTCCTACAGCCTTTGAACTCGGAGCAGTTTTACAACCACTCACTTTGCTCTTGTGCTTAACAGTTAAAGGACAAGCAGAAGCACTAATCTTGCGATTAAAGACAGTACTACAGAAAAAGCTGCCATCTACATTTCCACATATCTGAAATACCAACTACACATGAGTATTCTCATAACGTATTTTTCTCCTTGTTTATTCCACGCTGTTTAAGAGAAGTGATCTCGAAAATATATTCAAATATTTATGTTGTGAGTGTATGCACTACTTTCCTCAGATTTTCTACTTATTAATAATAATTTGAAGACTCAACACGAACACTTCCACAGCCAACTCAGCATAGATTTCTACTTTAGCCTGTACTTACAGCCAGCCTCTGCACCTGGCTGAGAACCAGGATATTCAAAGAACTCCTGCTAGGGCACCGAGTGGCCTCAAATAGCTAGGCAACACCAGATAAAAACCTGACAATTTACAATCCCCGCAGCAGCCTAACAGCTTGAGGTACTATCAAACTCCAGCATTCCCAGTACTTCTGCCAACAGCCTGAATTCAGCCCATCCTGCAAAAGCAGAATGGAAATCAAAGGCTTCCAGATGCTGGGGGGACATGGAGGCCAGCTGCTTGGAGACCAACATTGTGATCCAGATTTCTCAGGACTTTTTCCTGATGCTTAAGCTGGAACCGAAGTTTTGAAAGCATCAGCAGAACAGGATTTCCAAGACCAACAGACTCTTGCAACCAGGGCAGGCCATGTGGTAGGGAAGGCCAAGCCTCTAACAGTCCACCTGGAAACCTGACAGGCAGAACTCTATGTGAAACCTGCCTGTGTTTCACTGATTATGGTCAAACCAGAACGTCTCTGTAAAACATTTCAGATTCTAAGATATGGCACTTTCTCACAGAATTCCAACAAATTTTTTTACTGAATGTTCAAACCAGTTCATGCTGAGCACCTCAAAGCAAATCAGCAACTCACGACACCCTACAAAATTTCTCAAACACACTACTTCACATGCATATTAAATGTGAAGCCAAATGTTATTTAGCAGTGTGCTTTAAACAGCTTCAGCATGCTAAGAGCACCAATATTAGTTGACATCTCAGAATAATAATAAACCAAAAAATAAGATCCCCCAACACGTAAGTTCACAGTTACTTGATTAGGCAGTTCAGGAGCCACTGGAAAATTTGGCACATACACGAGAGCAGTTCAAGTTTAACTTGAAATATCTTTAAATATGAAAAAGGCTAGACAATTAAACCCCAAGCTGTCATACTTGGAGCAGCTACTTATCACTACTTTCCTCATTAGTGCATGACCAGCTAAAGGAAGATTCTAGCATTTAGGAGCATCTGATTTGTTTCTCTTCCTCACCTCCAGCACTTAGAAATCTCAACGGATTTCCAATGACTCATTACTACTTGCAAACTCTGAACACTTGGATCCCTTTTCCCTAACAGGTCACCCTCCCCCTGCAAACAACTTACAGTATTTTCACGTCCAATTTTTGATTTTTCAATGCCTTTTTGTAAAATCTCTTTCTTCTGATTGGTTTCTGCAAACTGATGAAGGAAACAAAAAATAAAATCAACCTATTTCAGTGACATACACATTTAACATACAAAACACATACATGCACACTTATAAAAGTCCATACATAAATAAAATACTTAAATAAACAGCATATAAACTTCTAAATATATATAATTTGTGTGATAAAAATAAACTCAAAATAAATACCCAAACACCCAAGCATAAGATCATGGCTCTGACCCACAGAGAAGAATTACAGGAAGCACGTGTTTAACTTCCATGCCACATAATCATGTTGCATGCTGCAAAATCCTTTTTCATACCATAACCTGGCATGTCTATGCAAAGGCACTCACAACAGGAAGGCTTTGGACTAGATGATTTCTTTTCATCCTTTTCCAACTCTTTAATCTCTCCCATAGCCATTCCCTTACTGACTGGAAGCAGTGGCAATAGCTGCAGCAGCTCCACCTGCTCAGCTGCTGATACCAGCCTTCCCAAGGCTCGGGATGCCATTGGTGCTGCCCCAATCCTTTTAGTATATTGGTGCATAGAGTTCTCTATGGCTCAAAGGCATGGAAAGCCATGGCTCCTTCTGTGCAGCACTCAGACTTAGACTTCCTTCAGGTCTGAAGCAGAGGCATCTTTCAGAGGAAGCCATATCTCACAGGGCTGGCACAGACATCACTCCAGAGGAATTACCATCAGGATAGATCTCTCCCCAATAGCCTGCTGCCCATGTTTAACCAAGTCTATCCTGTTCAGTTGCAAGTCTTCCAGGGACACTTTGGAAGCCCTTAATCTGAGCCGGATGTTTGACGCATCCCCTGCTCCTCGGGGGCAGTACTCAGTGTTAGCTAGAGCTTCTTGAAATACAACATGAATGGGAATGCAAAAAAAAAAGTCTTATAAACATTTTGTTTGGAAATTAGCTACTCCATTTGAAATCATTACCAAGAAAAAAAAGGTAGCATTCTTTGTAAGTACAAACTCTGGTTTAACTTGAAGATGTTCTGTGTATCAGTCAGGTAGAAATCAGAACAGATTAATCACCAGTACGATGGAGGTGGCTGTCAAAGCCCTCATTTCATTCTTAAAAAGAAACCAAATTCCTACCTTGAGCCCTCCCCAGAAACAGTCACACAACACCTCTGCTTCTACATTCTCATTCTTCTCATTACTGATCCCACTGAATGGAAGAGCATTCCTAGATACTTCTTGCAATTCTTAGCCTTGATAATTTAACCATATTCATATTCTTTTGCAACTGAATTGACAAGACTACAACGGCCTCTACATGAAAAATCATTTCTGCAGCATGGTTCTTTCCAGGCAGACTACATACAATCAGCTTGATTGCAAGAATTCAACCTGTTCGTACAGTGCAAACAGAGCTGGTTTGGAGCCACAGCCAATTTCTACCTAGACTCATGTTCAGTGTGTACATGTTCAGAAATACATCCATAAATGCATGAAAAAATATGATGCAGAGCTTATTGCCAAGTCTTAAGATACAGGACGTGAAGACAAATAAAGCTCCATAGTGGTGCTTTCTAAGGATTAGGCCCCAGCCCAACTTCAGTTAACTTGGTTCAGAGGGAAGATTCCTTTCTTCAAAACTGCTTCCTGCTCCTGGATAAAAGTGTTCATGCATGTGTGCACATACATGCAGATAAGGTCTGCTCTCAATAGCAATGCTTTACTTTGACTTCACTTTATATAGAGAAATCACTTTGAAATTACTACGATTTTGGGAAAAATATGCCCAGCTGTTTACTCACTGCTGTCAGTGTAAGTAACCACACAGGCAGCTTGGGATTCAGTATGTGGCTTGAAGTACACCAGCATCTCAATTTTGGTGAAGAGTTGAACAACAGCACTCTTTCTGGGTTTTCCACAAAACTCGTATAAAATGAAGTGTGTTAGTATCCACATTATGCCTTACTAGATTGAAGCATACAGTTCAGCAGAGGATAGATAGCTAGGTGAAGTTTGTCATTTGTGAAGGAAAAAAATACCAGAGCACATATCATTCAGTATCTCTGAAGAAAGAATTTAGCTGGAACTAAACTCACCTAGAAAACAGAGATGTCAAAGAGCTTGTATAGGTGTACATACTACACATGCAAAGAATAAGACAATGCTTTCTGGAACAGGGAGAACATAAAATCGTTCATTTGTCTGTTTTCCATATTTATAAAGCTCTTTAGGAACATGTCTACATTCTCTAAGATGGAAACACAAATCTTTCAGATAGTTGCAATTAAATAACAAAAGCTGGTTACCAGCTTTTTGGTCCTCTATATTCTAGGGCATTTAATTATGAAAGAGACAGTAATGATAAACACTGAGAAATTTCTTGGCCAGTTCTAGATTCTGACCTGCGTAATGTATAACGTTACCATGCCACAAGGTTAGAAGGCCTTCTTCTGACTAAAACCAATCAACTTTCATACAACTTTACTGAAGGTATTTTCTTTCTTACTATATGGAGTTTTTTTTATGTGTGTGTGTGTGTGTGTGTTCAAAAATGAGAATTTCAGAATTCTTTTTACAAAATAAAATAGCCTGTGTGTGTCAAAGCGGGTACTCCTATGGACAACAAAAGATGGGTATAAGGGAAGGAATTGTAGAAAGAGAAGAGATGATCCTGCTCATTTCATAGACCGCTGTGGTCAGCTGACTGCCCACTGGCCTGGTCCATTAATTCAGTCCCAAGTGCCCGGAGGGATGCTCATGCTTACTTTGCCAATGTCCTGCCATGCTCAGCTTGTGCAGCACTTTGTGCATGTTAAGTGCCACATAACTAAAATAACCATCTCTTCCAACCCTAGCCTGGGTGTGGTTTGTGCCAAGGAATAGAGATTAGATGTACTTAGGTAATTCATAATGTGTTTGTGCACACACTACTGTCAAGTTCCACTGTTGTAACTCAGTGATGTGCAATTGGAAGAGGAACGTTTAAACCTGACATGCGATTGCAGCAGATTTCAATTCGCTTCCTCCCCAAAATCTGCCTGATACTGCTCAAGCTCAACACTAGTCTTATTCTCCAGGATTTTAAAGCATCTCTAACCTGGTGTTGGCCATGCAAAGGCAGGTCCTTGCAGTGGACAAGGTCCAAACTGAGGTCTTACATGCTAACCATGAGCATTCACAGCTGCTACCCACTGCCATTATGTTCTTACAGAGCAATATCAGATGCACCATCTTCTTGCAGTCAGAATACGTAACCAAAAATGGTATGAACAACTATTATTTTTGTGCAACCGACAAAACTGCAGCACTGCAGCAGAATTCAAGACATCCATTTTCTAATTGTTCATAACTTTCCTAAATTATTCATTTGAAGTTTGAAGCTTTCTACGTTTTTTTTCAGGCCAGAGGCAAACACTGTGTGCTTTTAGCTTTAAGAAAAGCAGTTCAAGAGTTTTAAGGTGACATTTGTAGTTGAGGGGTATATTTCTTTCCTATGTTAAATCCATCTCACCGTTGAAAAAATTAAGTGGAATTGACAGAAGGCGTACAGAGAAAGCACTTCAAAGCATTCCTCTAGATTATAATGATTAAAAAAAAAAAAAAAAAAGACTGATAATGCAAAGATTAACAGCCAAAGAACAATGTGAACATATTGAAAACAGACCTGCTGTGTTAAAAGAAAGGCACAGAGTTCCACTAAAGGAAATCACTCAGCAATTGCTGTTGACTGAAACAGCAAAGCTTAAGAATAAAAAGGCACATCAATGCGCAAAATTGTTTCCTAAAATATTGCAGAAAGCAAACACGCAACTGCTTTTTACATACTCACTTGCCAGGGTCTCCAAACACACAGAAGTAAACATCAAGCTGGCTGGTCATACCAGCGTGCTTGTGGCACAGCAGAGCACCCACAGTCAGCGGCAATACCGACACTCTGCTCTCAGGTCGCATGCGCACCGTTTGTGCAATGCCACTTTGCACCCATCCCACACAGCGAACCAGGCTGCAGCAGCAGCACATCCCAGGTTTGTTGGGGCTTCAGTATTGTTTTGCAGTTCTGGTGAAACACATTGAAAGTACACGCTTGCTACCTAAATACAACCAAACAACCTTTTTTTTTTTTCTTCCTTTTTCTTCTTTTTTTTAATCTTTAAAAAAGATTTCCGTGGAAAGGAGGGAAAATTGAATGTGTAATGTCCTACCCTGAGTCATTACAAGTTACTTGAGCAACACAAGGCAGCAAATCACATTTGCTGCAGAACTCAGAGCATGAGAGATGCACCTGGGAGACAGTCATAGTTAAAGAAATACAGGCAAGAACAAGAGCAGAGATGAAAACCATACAGAGTAAGAACATTTAACCCAGGAATCAAAGAATAGACAGCAGGGTTTTTACAGCAAAAGAACATCATAAAAAGGATTGGCAGCAGATTGTAGAAAAAAAGAGAAGACAGCCCACCGTATTTCTGTACTCAAAAAGTATTTTTTCTTAAACCTTGCATTATTGGTATATACTGTAGGTGTGGAGAAATTTTCAGTATAAGAACTCTCTTCTCTTAATGCACATTACAAATTTGATCATACAAGATTACCTCAATGCTACCACTGAATGAATCAGTTCAAAAAAATTGGGAATAAATATCACTTTCTAGAGAAAAAGCAGACCCCAAGCCCCAATAGAAGTTATATATGCTATTTAAAATGAAAGGCTGAAGCATGGATTCTTCTGGTAAAGAACACTTTTTCTAAAATATCATGATATTGTGTAACTTATAATGAGCTATAATGAGTGGGTACTCTTTTTTTTTTTTTTAAATTTGGATTGTATCTTATGTCAGGGACTAAAAACAGTATGAGAAACTCAAGTTAAGTTACCATATTTTTGGAGATTTAACCAAATGAAGCTTCAAGTCACCATACAATTGGCTGATGAAGCACTATAATGATTAAAAAAATAAAAAATAAAAATAAAATAAAATTCTAAAGTTAGATCTGTGTTCTCATAAGCAATGCTTACATGTTTTGCACTAGTATTCATGCAGGTAATACA